GATTGGATTTATATAGCGCTTTTCAAGGCACCCAAAGCACTTTACAATGCCACTATTCATTCACACACTGGTGGAGGCAAGCTACGATTGTACCTACAGCTGCCCTGGGGCAGACTGACAGAAGCGAGGCTGCCATATCGTGCCATCGGCCCCTCTGGCCAACACCAGTAGGCAGTAGGGTAAAGTGTCTTGCCCAAGGACACAACGACCAGGACAGAGAGCCCGGGGATCGAACCAGCAACCTTCCGGTTACAGATACGCTTCCCAACCCCCTGAGCCATGGTCGCTCCAATTTAACAGCTGTGTCCTTTGTAACTACTACAAATAAAATACATAGCATTGAGTCTGGTAGTTTGCCATGAATCATAAACCTTTAATATCTAATTGTATGCAGGTTAAAGTTTCACTGTCATGTTTTTAATGTTTGTTTGTCTTTTATCTCTGACTGGAGGCACTCATATGGATCGTTTTGTGAGAAAGAAGAGTCATGGGCCCACTGTTCTTTACCAGACATGTTGGAGACAAGTGGTGATAATTGGCACTGTGCCTTTTCGTACTTGGAAGTGTTGGTGACTATGTGGTGATCTCCTTTGAATTTTTTCCTGTAAGAGAATACAGAGAGTAGGCCTACTCGAACCTTAGGGCTAATGGATCCACACGGCAGAAAAGCCCAGCAATATCAACAGTCTCCTCCTATCCCGTTATCTCTGGTTTGTGTTGAGCCAGCTAACACAAAGAAATCGTGGCTATGTTGAACTTCACTATACCCCTCACATTGTCAGATAGACCACTAAGGCAAACATTTAACTACCGGCCAAACCAGCCTATGCAACAGACACATGGTACTGCATAACCTAATAAATACAAACCTCACATTGCACCAGACTGTGACACAAATTGTGACTGTGGTTAGCCTGTGTTGTAACACAAACCCATCGGTGGCTCAATGTTTGAGAAAAGTTAACTGAATCTTTCACACTTCTTTATTTAAAACAAATCTTTAAACTGCACAGTTTTTTTTTCATAAGAGGCAACAAAGGTCTGCCAGATTGCTGTCAGTTTGTCTGTGTGACTCAGTACCAGTCTGTGTAATAATTCTTTGGCATATGCAGGAAACCACAGTCGCAAAGACTCAGTTTTTGTGGTAGCAAAATAAGATAGACATCAGGATCTGAAGCAACTAAACCTGAGTGAGATAAATACAAATATAATTGTGTTTGCAACTTATATTAATGTCTGTTGCTTAAAGAAAATGCTTTCAGATGCAGTCTGCAGCGACTGCATTTTCATTACATCAGCGCATAAGCCAGGACAGTCAGCGTGCATCAGGACAACACCAGATGGAGCTAAAAAATAAAAGCAGTGACTGAGGTGTGGAATATGCACGTGCTACGAGAGCTCGGCAATGCTTAGCATGATTACAGTTATTGATCATCATTCAGCATGATTTGGTTCAGATTTGCTTGAACAGTACCACGACTCTGAGACTGTAACTCTTTGATGAGTGTATACATCTTATATCTGCAAAGCATGGCTGATTCTGGCTCATTGAAAAAAAGCTTTTGCATGGTTATCCTACCAGTATGACTTAAAAAAGAAAAAAACAAAAGAACACTCCAATGTGTTTCAGCTGTTCAGGAAATGATACAGAGGACAGGTGTGCACTGCGAGATAATCTCATTTTTTGCTGCACAAATGATATTTGCCTGAAACATGGCCTCGTGTGATGCGTTTATAAATCTTTTAATATACAATAGCTTTATGAATATTCGAAAAATGTTATTAGTAATGATCAAAACAGAGGCAACGCAGAAACATAAAAGAAGACCAACAGGAAAATGTCTCTCTTAATGGTAATTTAGTAACAATGACAAATATAACATACATACATGTGCAGAATTCAGCGGTCTGTGAGGTTTGTGACTGTGCTGGGGTTACAAAATGCCTTTCTTACTCAAGATCCCTTTAACCTTTGAAAATATATTTCACTTTACACCTTCAAAACAGTCCAAATTGTCAGGCTTAATGTGTGGCTTTAAGTGCTCCTTCAGCCTTTTCTCCCTGTTTCACTTCCCTAAGAATGGCTTCTTGACAGCTACACTTCCACTGGGACCATTTCTGATGAGGCTTCAGAGAACATTAGATGGATCAACTGAAAACCCAGATGCAGCTCTCATGTCCTGTGTTAGATTTGTATTGTTGATTGTCATTTATGCTTAGAAATATCTACTCATATATGCTTAGAGTTTTATAATCAATGTCATGTTGGTAGAGGTTTGATCCTTAGTAGTCTGTGGAGACTCTGTGTGCCTCCCAGAGCACTCTGGCATGCACACACAACTTAAGGTCAGGAGAGAGGTTATATCTGCTCTTACTGATTTATGGTATAGAAGGACACCTACTCTGTATCTGGTTAAGTATAAGAGCCTTTTGTTTAGATGGACTGCTAGACTCCTGGCACCAGCTTTGGGGAGTCTTCACGGGGTCACATCTTGACCCCACACACACACACTTACACGACACACACAGACAAGGTATTCTTTGTCCACATGTATACCTATATGAAACGTCATATGTTAATGAACCTATGCATATTCATGTGACCGCAATAAAAGGAGTGCTACAGGGAACCTGGCTGAGAGTCTGACGGAGGTCAAGTGGGTGGAATGACACTTGGCTCCAGGCAGGTCTCCCTCATGCACGAGTAACACAAAGAACTTTGCCTACTTGTGTCTTGCTTTTGCTGTGTAGTAAATTGTCTTGAACATTCCAGCGAATAGGTTTATGCTACAAACTATCATACTTCACTGTGCAATACCTTTTGTGCAATACTTTTGTTAATAGTCAATGGTGCAATAGACCTCAATACTTGAAATGTGCAATTCACTTGTATTTTTATTTTTATTCCTATTTATTCTATTTATCCCCTTCGTATATTTTATTTATATATGTCTCTGTATTTATATATATGTGTGTGTGTGTATATATATATATAATATTCTGTAACTGTAACTTCTGTCGGTGCTGTGCTTTTGGAAACCGAATTTCCCAGAGGAACCCACCCGAGGGATTAATAAAGTTTTATCTTATCTTATCTTATCTCCTGTGTGTTTTGAAGATTCAGCTAAAGAAATTAGAACAGATTGTAGGATTCTTGTGATGTGCCGCTAGTAACAAAGTGCCGAGAAATTGAACTTAAAATTGACACTTTGCTAAGCTGTCTGTTGTGTGTGGACACAACTCATTTCATCTCTTGAGTCATTCAGGGTCATTCTGTATGCTTTAATGATTCATAACTAAAAAAAAAACAAGAAACGTCTGGCTCAATATTCAGTGTCTCAAGATAAAATACTGTTTCACCAAATTACTGGAATCACTGATCTTCTGTTATATTCAAATCTTTTACAATGGACCAAAAGTGCCCCCAAGCCTTTCAAATATTTTTTGTTTGTCTTTCAGTATAATCTTTGTCTTTCTAGTGAAATGTTTGCCTGACTCATGCTTTTTAATATCACTGATAGCGAAAACCCTTGAATGGGCCAGCTGTTTCTGTGCAGATTCCACTTGGAGAAATTGTTACAAATCACAGCATAATGACATAAAAATGGTAATGTGCTCAGTCTGCTTCTTTGTCTCAAACACATGCAGATGCACACAGAGTAACAACTACCTCAGGGCCTCAGAGGTTGTTATCCATCATTTTCCCGCTGCATCACCACATTATCATTCTTTATGACTGTCATATTACTACATTTTCTTCTCTAAGTATACCCAACAAATCTTTATTGATTGCATTCATCCACCAATCCCAAGCCCTCCCCCAGCACATAGCCAGCATTAGATTAGTTAGTCTAACTAACCAAAGGCTGAATTTCCCTCTCCACTTTGTGCGTGTGTGTGTTTGTGTGTGGGTGAGAGCTGTGTGTTTACAGTGCATGTGGGGGAAATTAACTGCCATAGAAACAGGTCTGTTTGTTTGTCTTTGTTGGTGCTTTGTGGCTTGAAAAGAAGCTGAATGTATGTTTATTTTTCCTACTTCTACACAGGGACCTCACCTGTATACATGCGCAGTTATTTCATATTTATTATTAATGCAAAGGCTGATGCAAGAGTGTGATGTTGTGCAGCGCATTCTTTAGAAGGAGATCCATGCTGAATAATTTATGCCACTTGTAAGCCTCACCACAGTCACCTAAACGAAAAGAGGTTTGACATGAGGGCAGTGGCCAAATTTAAACTTTATGAATGGTTATAAAGGTGGTCATGGAGTGACTGGGAGTTGTGTAACAGCACTTTGTGAGATCAGAAGGTTAAGTGAGTCCACTTTCTTTTTTCATTCACTTCTCTTTGTGCAAACACAGCCATCACAAGATGGTGTTACTTACTCTGAGTAAACATTTGGCCCCACAGTAGAAATAATACATTTGATATACTCCACTGTATGGATTCTACCTGCTTTCTACAGAGACAAAAATATGCATCACTGTAATTCTTCTACACGTGTTTAAGTCAGGAACCACTTCCTCTTTTGCGCTTCTTCTTCTTTTTTTTCTTTTACACACATCATGTACTCTGAGTCGTCTTTCTTTCATGTCTTTCTTCTCCTGCCTCCTCCTGCCCCCCCCCCTCTCAGAGTACAGAAGTAGCGTGAGCACAGCTGCCAGCAGCCTTCGACCGGTTGAAACCTGTATGCATTGCTACTGAAAAGACACTTCCTCCACCCATCACCAGCCAGATCCAGAAAGAGCTGGAAATCAGGAATGAATCTGATACACAGTCACAGTAACACAGTGTACCCCTGCCTTGTGTGTGTGTGTTTAAATTATCTTTTTACTGTAACTTAAGTGAAAGTGTACACTATTTGTAGAAAATACCACTTTTATGTTTCTCCTACCGAGTTGACGTTTAATTAAGACCAGCTATAAAAACATTCCACGCGACCCCTGTCGTGGTACTACTTGCACGGCCGTAACGCGGACTCGTACGGGCAGTGCTGCGGCCGGCCGTTGACCGTCTGTGACTTTTCCGGTTTTCCCCACCGCCACAGTGAACGCAGCACCAGGAGACGAACTGGTGGGTGGAGCATTCGGGAAGTTGCCGTGAACGCTATCCTCCAATCAGAAGCGCCCATCGCACGCGCAACAGCGGTTCGCGCAGCTCCATGTTGGATCAGTCGTTTTTTCTTAGAAATGTAGTGACCCGGAGGTGAGGCTGCGCTTACTGTCTAGTAACAAACGGACGGCCCCGGGCAGTCAGGCGGGTTCAGGTATGAGGGCTACCCGCCGACAGACCGCAGGGCTGCAAACGAATGTTTTCTGGAGGTTTGCGTGAGCGAGCAGCGTCATCCCTTTGCTTTGAAACGGGGCCGAGAAATTAGGTTAAAGACGCACCTGGAGAGGGGAGCGAAAAGTGGCATGCGGGGTGAAGAAGAAGTAATTGGATTGAGATAACGCCTCGCTGGCAGTAAGTATATTTTCTTCTCGTTATCTTTTCAACACATTACTAAAGGGATAAAAATAAATCGCTTTAATAACCCGCAACCTGTTGTTTATTGACTAACGGAGATAAGAGGCTGATGAATGTTTAACGCGGGGACACGTGCTGCTTCTCTTTTCTCACGCGTCTGGGTGAATCACCTGATCCCGCACAGCGGGCAAAAAAAGAAAGAAATGGAAAGAACCATCGCGTGCGCCAAAAAAAATCAGCAGTTTCGTCAGACTGTGGCAGAGATGACTGGTGTCCCATGTGGGTGCGCAGGTCTCCACGAGTTAAATACATCGTGGTGCCTGGAGCTGGTGTTGTAACTTCAGGTATGACCTAAAGTTCAGTCTGGCCATCTTTAAACTTCTGCTCAGTCCTCAATGAACTTGACTTGGAGCAAAGCGGCTGCTGTCACGTGGTGAAAGTCGTAATTCACCCTGAACCGAGTAGCGTTATTCCTCTACGAGTTTAATCAGGAAACTATCGCCAACGCTAGCCCGTCCTTGATGCCAGGGCCGCCTATAATAACCGAGGGCCCCACCCTTTCCTGGGGGCCCCACATTCTCTCACGCAACGCCTCCCCCCTCTCTAATCTGTTTGGATCTGTTACTTCGCCCATGTGTGAATGTGTGTGTGCATGGGTGGATGACTGGTTGTGTAAAGGGCTTTGGGATCCTTAGGGACTAGTAAAGCGCTATACAAATACAGGCCATTATGCAAAAGACTGGGGGAGGGCTGATAATGCAAGCTCCTTCTAGCTTTGCCACAGTTTGATAAAGATTACTCGCTCCGCTTTGCAAGGATATAGAATAGAATAGCCCTTTATTGCCACTGTACATGTACAATGAAATTATGGGTGCTCCATGCCAACTGTACAGGACTAAAACATAAATAGTAAAACAGCAGGAACAAATGACACACAGAAGAAATGTATACAATCAAGAGGAATGTATACAAAACAAAAGAGACATATAATAGAAATAAATATAACTATATATTATCTATAGGCTATCACAGTTGCCACTAACAACAATTAATGGTGATTCCTGATGACTTCACAGTGGTGTACTAAGAAGCAACATTTCGCATCATATGCTGAGTTTAAAGTCAGAGATTTCTGAATACCTGTTCAATCAATAAAAGTAATTTCACGAATTCCACGTGTACTTTTTTAGGCTGATGTAAGTAACCTGTAATGGTCCAGTTAAAGTTTGAAAGCTCTAAAGTGCATCCGGCATGTTGGAATTAAACATCAGCCCTAAGGGTGTACTCAGTTAAAATAATAAGCTTCAATTAAAAGTTTTATTTTACGGCTCTGTGACACAAAGCTCAAGATTTTTCTGCAGTGTAAATCTCTTTGTTTGCAACAGCTTTGCATTTTACTGCTGTTTTTATATTATTTGCAGATTTTTAATCACCATTTTTGCTCATTACACGTTAATGTCTCTGATTGGAGTAGGTTGCACTCACAGGGATCATTTTGTGCGGAAGAAGAGTCTTATGATAAAAAAAATGCCCACTTTTTGTGAGTGTGCAAAGAGCCTGAAGCAGAAAGCCCGGCTCTCAGAAAAAACGGAGATAACCATCATCATGATACCCTTTCTTTCTGACTGGGATTTGCATTTTAGATTTTGTCCAGCAAACTAACACAAAGAAAGCCTAGTTGTGTTGAACTTCTTTTATAGTACACTGCTGTTTTATTTACAGCCACAGATTTCCCAAACATATTTCTTAGGTAAAATATATGGTTAATAATGTGGCACTATGACACAACACCATTCTAATAATGACTAGACAGCCAAGCTATTAGTGTGACCGCATCTAATAGTGCTAAGTCATAGTGGTAGCTGTAACAAAATGCAACCTCTCATTCAGTATTTCTTTCTATGTTCATTCATTTCTATGTTAAATCCATGCAGTATGTTAAAACAATTGGATATCATAGTTAAAAAAAAATTAAACAGCATTTTCTTTATGGGCACACAGTAAAACGTAGAACCAGCAATCCGGTGTGATCAATGGATGCATTAGGCCACACCAAAACTACATGCACAATCCTTCGTGCAAACATTTGACTGTCAATTTTGTGTTCTTACTGTGGAAACTGAGGGAAAAACACGTTAAAAGTAATGACGTCTGAGATGGTCATTCATGTATGTGACTGTACCAAATGCTGTATATGCTGAATAGAACTAAAAGCTGAGTGAGTAATGGTCAAGGGATTACCTCGTGGCCGATACACAGACAAGCTGTTAGCCTTAGTTAAAACATCCTGTAACATGTAAGGCTGTCACGCTAAGTGAATTTTTAAATTGCAAATGACTATTCGTACCTCTAAGGAAAGACTTGTATATATCTGAAGGATGTTGAAACATTCAAAGCAGATTAACTGCTGATTTGAATGCAGATCATATTATGATGTTTTAGTGTGTTTTCCAAACTATGTAAAAAGTGCAACATTCACTAAGTAAGAGAACAATTTTCAATGCATCACTAAAGGAAATGCACATCTGCCAAAGGTCTTAGTGAGTAAGAACACTGGTGGATTTGGGGCTTCATCAAAGGACTCTGTTCCAAAAACAGCATGTTGTAATATGTCTGGATTTAGCACAGTTTTGGCCTGGTGCTTAAACACTATGAAAAGGAAGTGAGAGTTCAATGTAGTTCACACCATGATAAAATGATAGGGCACTTTAATACTTGTAGTCACTGATTCATGGCTCATGTAGCGGGAGGATAAATGTGTTACTCCAGCAGACTTAGCTGAATGCATGAAATCAGTCTCCAGTTTGGTAACTTGCTATGGATTTAGATTTGTTTTATATGGAGGAGGCCATGATGGAAACAAATTAAATGCTGGGACTTTATCTCCCTTCCGGTCTGTTTTTTTTTTTTTATATATACCTGTTGTTTATTTTTCTCCTTATAGGGGCAAACATATGTTGCTCAAGCTTTTCTACAACTTTGTGCATTCCCTCAGGAATTTTCTGACATTTGAGAATCCTTATATTTATGCTAATATTATTATTTCTTATATTGAGACAGTGATTGTTATCATCTCACTGATAAATTCAAAAACTGGAGTGAAAAAGTAGCTGAGCATGTATAGGAGGAATCAACAGTATTGAACAGGCCAATCACAATAGTTACGGCGTAGGTTTTAGATTTCCTGTTGAAGCATAAATCCACATCAACTTTGTCCTCTAAACAAAATGTGTCAAGTTATTTTGGAAGGTTTTTTTTTTTTGTTTTGTTTTCTTACTCGGGCTGCTCATGACAAGAACTGAAAGAGGACTTAAAATATCTCCAAGATGTCCAGCTGGCCCTGTGCAGTTGTTATGTCCATGAGTTCCCAGCAAAATGTCAGATTTTACAAGCATGGGATATCATACCAACATACCGTTTGAAATACTAATATTAAAGTAGTTGGACAGAGTCATCTGTTCTTGCAAAAGGACACAGGGCATAAGTACCACAATATCCTGCACTCGTGTCATAATTTCCTGTTGCATGTTTAACCCTTTTTCTATTAGTATCTGATCGCCACGGTTCGCTAGTTTTCAGGGTTTTCTAGTTGGCCATAGTACCTGGTACCAAGTGCTAAAATAGTACCTACTTGGCCACCGGTTCTAAGCGATCCAAGTAGGTACTAAAATGTGACATCGTCAGACTGCATGTTAGCGACTGGCTGGTCAGTGGTGTCACTCAATGAGTCATGAGAGTTTCTTTCTCATGAAAATCAAAACTGCCACACGAAAAGCCACAAACTGAGCAGTAGCTATATCATCGCTTCGACGGTCATCTTTGTTGTAGCCTTCGTGTCACATGCTTATGTCAAGGGATGCACGGATGGGTTGCTGTAACAATGACCACGCACATTATGTGGTACTCGATTGTAATAGAAAACCAGTTGAGTTTTGGCGAGCTGATCTGAGTAGGTTTTAATGGAAAAGGTCCTTTTGTTGGACCACAGTGTTTACAAAGGCTATAGTTAAATGCATCTCATAGCACTGCTGCACCTCAGTGATCATATCAAAATGTGTCTTTGTGGTGGTATAAACTTTGTGTTGGTTTAAGCTAAAAGTCCCGAGACACGTCTGGTTTAAATAGGGTTACAGGTCTGTAGGTTTTATAAATATTCAAATATCATGTATTATGCGACAGGCATGGTGCACACCCCAAATACAATCAGCTTTCATTAACGATCATGATCATGATGAGGATGAACTAGAAAAGTAACTGACCAATTTATAAATAATCAGAATTAATCAGTTAATTGTTTTGTTCAAGTTTAGTGCCAAAAAAACCATAAAATAAATAGTATAAGTAAAATTAATTGAGTTTTGTCTCTTTGTTCCAGCGATGTTCACTCTCACTGAGATTGCATCCCTGAACGACATCCAGCCAACATACCGCATCTTAAAGCCATGGTGGGACGTCTTCATGGACTACCTGGGTCTGATCATGCTCATGCTGGCCGTATTTGCAATGACCATGCAGATCACCAAGGACCAAGTAGCTTGCCTTCCATGTATAGATAATGCAGAGGAAGCCTCAGGAACAAGCTCGTTGCCCCAGCAGAGACCTGAGGATGTAACCTCATCCACCAGAGCCCCTGTAGGAACAACCATCCCACCGGTCACTAAGGACCTAACGGATGAAGCGGTCAGTAAGATTACTGCATTACAAGCCCCTCCAACAGGGGTCAAAACAAACCTGGACTTTCAACAGTATGTCTTTATCAACCAAAAGTGTTACCATGATGCCTTGCCCTGGTATTCCAAATACTTTCCATACCTCACCCTCATCCACACCCTCATTCTCATGGTCAGTAGCAACTTCTGGTTCAAGTACCCCAAAACAAGTTCGAAGATTGAGCATTTTGTTTCTATTCTGGGACGGTGTTTTGAATCTCCTTGGACAACAAAGGCTTTGTCTGAAACTGCTTGCGAGGACTCGGAGGAAAACAAACAGAGGCTGACCGGCACCTCTTCTGCACCAAAGCAGGTGTCTATAGAGGGGAACGATGACAGCACAAATGTGAGCCCATCCACACCCATGCTTGGGGTGAAATTTTCTGCAGATAAGCCTATTGCGGAGGTCCCAAGTAGCATGACGATCTTGGATAAAAAAGATGGGGAGCAGGCCAAAGCTCTTTTTGAGAAGGTGAGAAAATTCAGAGCCCATGTGGAGGACAGCGATTTTATCTACAAGCTTTATGTAGCACAGACCATTGTCAAATCTGTGAAGTTTATTTTGATATTGTGCTACACTTCAACCTTTTTAGCCGAAATAAAATTCACACATGAATGTAAGCCTGATATAAAACATTTAACAGGATATACAAAGTTCTTTTGTACACACAACATGGCTTTCATGCTGAGCAAACTGCTCGTCACCTATGTGGCATTGATAATGATCTATGGGATGACATGCTTGTACTCTCTCTTCTGGGTCTTCCGGCGACCCCTGAAAGAGTATTCGTTTGAGAAGGTCAGGGAAGAGAGCAGCTTTAGTGACATTCCTGATGTCAAAAATGACTTTGCATTCCTTTTACACATGATTGACCAGTATGACCAACTTTACTCCAAGCGCTTTGGCGTTTTTCTGTCTGAGGTCAGTGAAAATAAGCTAAGGGAGATCAGCCTCAACCACGAGTGGACTTTTGAAAAATTAAAGCAGCTTGTCACGCGTAATGCACAGGACAAGCAGGAGCTGCACCTCTTCATGCTCTCTGGACTCCCGAATGCAGTGTTTGACCTCACAGATTTGGAAGTGCTCAGACTGGAGCTGATTCCTGACGTGAGGTTCACTGCAAAGGTCTCCCAGATGACCAGCTTGCAAGAGCTGCATCTTTGCAACTCTCCGGCCAAAGTTGAGCAGACGGGCTTTGCTTTCCTCCGTGACCATCTCCGCTGCCTTCATGTCAAGTTCACCGACGTTGCCGAGATCCCGGCTTGGGTTTATTTGCTTAGGAACTTGAGGGAGCTTAACCTAATTGGCAACCTGAGCTCAGAGAACAACAAAATGATTTGCCTGGAGTCCATGCGAGATTTGAGGCATTTAAAGACGCTATGCCTGAAGAGCAACCTCACAAAAATCCCCACAAACATAACAGAACTTTCTCCGCATCTGATTCGGTTAATGGTTCACAATGATGGTACAAAATTGCTGGTCCTAAACAGTTTGAAAAAGATGACAAATCTGATTGAAGTGGAGCTGCACAACTGTGAACTTGATAGGATTCCCCATGCCATTTTCAGCTTAACCAATTTACAAGAACTTGACCTGAAATCCAACAATATTCGAACCATAGAGGAGATCATCAGCTTCCAGCACCTCAAGAGGCTGACGTGCCTTAAACTGTGGCACAACAAAATAATCACCATTCCAGCCACCATCGGCCACATCAAGTCTCTGGAGGCTCTCTACCTCTCTCACAATAAACTGGAGACCCTCCCTGCTGCCCTGTTCACTCTGCCCAAACTGCGACACTTGGAGGTGGGCCACAACTCCATCTCGGTGCTTCCTCCAGATGTGGGTCTCCTCCACAACCTCCAGCACTTGGCCATCAACTCCAACAAGCTGGAGGGGCTGCCCAAGCCTCTGTTCAGATGCACCAAGCTTAAGGTGCTGTGTCTGGGGCACAATGCGCTCACGATGCTGCCAGAGGCTGTGGGTCAGCTAGTCCAGCTCACTCAGCTGGAGCTCAAAGGAAACTGTCTGGACAGAGTGCCTGCCCAGTTAGGAAATTGCCGCCTGCTGCGCAGAAACTGCCTAATCGTGGAGGACCATCTTTTTGACACACTGCCCGTGGACGCTAAAGAAAGTATCAGCCGAGAAACCTTTTAGCACAAAAGCCACCTAAAAAGACGGATGGCTTCAACCATTATTTTTGTATTGTATTATCCATGCATTTCTTGATTAGTATTTTTAGGCTGTCTTAGTTGCTTCTGTTTAAATACAGCATAAGAAAACAGAGCTTTTGTTATTGCGAAGTATGTATCTAATGCAACATTGTTATTATGCTTTTTTGATAGCTTTGAGATATTAAAAATCCAGCTTCTTTGTATATTATTCTATAGACCAAAACCATTTCAGTGGCACATTATATACATTTGTCATTATTGTTTTAGGTACTCAGGTATAAATGTAACCATTGGGAACAATCTTTTTGCCTTAACTGCTGCTATTTGTTTGTTTTTGTTTTTTTACAGTGAGGGCTTTCACAAACAACAGGACAAAAATTAATAATTTATGATTTCTTGTCAGATTTCTTTCTTTTTGTGTTGAAACTATCAAGGTACTTTTTAACTTGTTGAAATCAAGTAACCAGTGTATTTTTTTTTTTTCTTCATACCTATGTAGCCGAAAGAATTTGAGTTGTAAACTCAGGTGGAGACGAGAAAAGAACTTTTACCCCACTGTAGTAAAGATTGTATATGAAAGCCTCCAGTAATTCATTTGCACATTGAAACCCTAATGATGTAAAGATTGGTGAATGTCCTGCTGAGAGAACTAATAAAAGGGAAATCGGTTGACTAGCTTTTGAAACCATGTTTTGAAGTGTGATTTGAATCTGTTGTGTTGAGCTACTGGTCCCACATGTCACAATCATGTAAAGATGATGACATCTGCCTTCATTCTTGTCAATGTACTTCTGTGTAGGCCTGATATACGTGTTCTTCAGAGCTGCTGTACCACCTTGATGAGCCTCTGCTCAAAGTTCACATTTTTATTGTACAATAAAACAACAGTCCAGATTAACGTCTAATGATTATCGATCGCCTTCAGGTTCATGACACTTGCTGCTGTCCTGCAGTGAAATCTGTAAGTTTGGAGATTATTCTTTTAAATATGTATGGTGGATTAACAACATTTTAAAACTGTATCATTGGAAAATGAACAGATTTTCTTTCAAAATTGACTTTTTTTTCCCCCACTTGTTTCCACTTTCATTGTTCTATTCTTGGACTTGAGTCACAGTTCAAAATGATCCTTACACTGGGCCTTGGTACAACCCCCTGACTTCAGCCTATAAAACCATCGTCAAACTTTGTTCTAACTGGTTTTAAATAGAAGCTTCAATCAGCAGTCAGTCTGGGAGTGTTTTCTTAGCCGACCATGAATTGTGTAGCAGAAATCAAGACTCGTCAGAACAGGAAATGTTTTTCCAATTTTCTTTTGTGTGCAAATTGTGTGTAGACTCTGTTTTCTGTTCTTAGGTAAAAGGAGTGGCACTTAGTGTTAAGTTCTGCTGGTGTAACCCATCTCTTTCACAGATGTGCCTTGAAGGTTGCTCTACTGCATACCTCGGTTGTAACGCTTGACTTCATGTCAGCTCATTCTCCTCCATCCTCTGGCACCAATAACCGTGCCACGATCAAAGTCCCCTATCTTCCCCATTCGGTTTGCTTAACCATGTCTACATGAATATACCACAGATGTACCTATTTAAAAACAGTATATACTTATAATTTTAAAAATAAATAGAATTTTAATACACTTCAAGTTTGTCACTGGCTTAAGTGTTATATTGACACTAAACATGCTTCTTATTGAATATGGTGTTGTTTGATCATCCCTGTTTTTTTTTTTTTTTTTTAACCCCCTGGCATAAGTTTTTCACACTAACAAAGCTCCAAAAAAAACTTCCCAAAAAATACAAGCTAATGGCAAACTCAAGTGTTTGTGTTTAATCCAACAAACCAGTAGGGAGATAAACCTTTTAAGAACAGTCTATGATTTATTTGAAGTTAATTTGGATTTTCTTTCTGACCTGGCTCACACTTGTTTCTGTTTCTCGTTGGATTCGCAGCAAAAAAGATCATGGCTGCAAACCTCCTGATTCTAATGGAGCTGTCCTGTATGAAGTACATCAGTTTCCTCTCACAGTTATTTCAGGTTAATTAGTGATTCTAAAATGGTACTCGTAGATGTGAGTGGTTGTCTGCCTCTCTGTGTTAGCCTTGTGAAGATGGACAGTCTGCCCACTGTTTACCCATCTCTCACCCTGTGACAGTCCCCACAGCCCTGAAAGCAGTTAAGAAAATGAGCACAGGGACAGCAGAAAATATACAGGAAGAACCAAAAATATTAAGGGTGGCTCGTTCTCAGTAAGTACTTCATTCCAGCATTTTATTATACCCTTGTTTGTTTCACTCTACATTTTTCCTCCTGGAAAAACAGTTTTTTCCCCCTCCACCCTTTTCTGCTTCCTGTCTGCAGCAGAAACTCAAGAAAGATTTAAAACGTCCCTTAAGGGCTTGAGTACAAAGGTCCCAGAGTCACGGCTCTTTTGTTAATGTTGCCAAGAGACAACTGACAATGTTACATTGACCTCAGCAGTTCCCAAGTAATGGTATGATCCCAGTGTACTCTCCAGTGAAGTTAACTGAGTTCAAATAATGTGTTTTTAGTCATCCGATGTCTAAAAGTTAATGACTGATAAAGTAAATGTCTTGAGTTCCTCCATATCGTCATGCACGAGATATTTTCTGAAATGTGAATCCTATCAGACCGTTGAGAAGCAGGGGCTAGATTTGGTGCTGCACTGCAGACAAGTAACAATGTGTTTGATTCCTCCAAAGGAAGAACAATAACAGCACTGTTTCTAGGTAGGTCTTGACCAGATTTTTCTGAGAATTATGAGAACACACCTGTCCTTGAGATATCCTCCTCTGGAACTAAACATGCCCGCATGTAGTGTCATGTTTCTGTCTGCCTGTGCTGACACACATTCATTCTTAAACAAATTCTTTCAGATTTCACACTGCTGTCTGTTTAATCCCCTGTTCTTATCTGTAAGTTTTTCTTAACTTATAAACACTCAAAGAATTCAACATTGTGCATTCATCTATATATAATTAGATGAGCAAGCAGTCTACAAGACCCTACTGAGGTCCTGCTTGTTTTAATAGACTTAAACACAGTTAATACTGGAACATTTTTAAACTAATCAAAAAAGGAGATTTTTTTTTAAAGCTGTGTTTGACAAATGACAAAAAATTTATATGCACAGAGAACGTGTTATCTTCAGTAGGCTATCTGTTCAGTATAAGACGTGCGACACTGAAACATCTGAATGTAGTTGTACTTCTTTATAGAGTTAAAAATAAATTGAATTCAAATTGATATCTTCTTTGGGGAGCATTTTGAATTTCTGGTGACTGTAAAGACAATTTCAGTACAGTAAAATCATTGTCTCGCTGGAAGCAGTTGTCAGACAATGGGTACACTGTGTTCATAAAGGGACAGAGATGAATTAGCAACAATACCCAGGTGGATTGTAGCATTTAAATAGTCCTTAGTTGGTAATAAGGGGTCCAAAGTGTGCCAAGAAGATTTCCCCACATTTTCTTTTTACGTTTGTTAGCCGCTTGGCTGTGATAGTAAACAGTAGACACTGATGTAGCTTACTGAATCTTTTGGACTGTGTTCAGCACAATATTAATTAGTCATTGTCAGTTGCTGATTTGTCCTATTTGCATACTATGCATACTCTCGCTCTCTCTTCATATATATATTTGTGTGTGTGTGTGTATGTGTGTGTGTTTATCTTGTTAAATTCAGTATGGTTCCAATAACATTTTTTACAGTAAAATATGTTAATGTACAATCCTTAATATAAGGAGGCGGGGTGGGGGTGGGGGGTGCCAGAGGGGGTGTTCGCCCAGGGCACCAAACAGGCTAGGACCGCCACTGATGGCTACATTGACTTTCTGGTATGTGATTGACTGATTACACATTTTTGCCCATGAGCAGTTGATTAGAAATGCTTATTCGGGTATCAGGTGAATGTAAGTTATTATGAAAAGGTTTTTACCTCTCGAACCCACCTAAGGTCGGATCAGAATGAATGTGATCCATGAATCGATCCATTCTCTGCTGCACTTTGCTACCATCTGTCGGCTGCTCTAAGTATCATCTAAACAACCTTTTAATAGGCGAACCAGCTTTAGCTTTACCAACAAAGCATATCCTCTATTTTTAAAAAAAATAATGAACCGTCACAATGTGGAAACGTTTCAGGCCCAGGCAAGAAGCAAAGGAGCTACTTCAGGATTTAATAAAATGCCGACTACACGGTATGTGGAGGCTGCACTCTTTAAACGGGGCTAAAATTGTTATTTGGGAAAGTTTCTGATTTACAACCTACATTAAGGTGCCTGTTAATTCAATTTCTGACTCAGTTTTTCTTTTGTCGAGTGGGTGTTAACGGTGCAAGCATTTAATTCTACCAGCTAACGGTGCATAAAGCTTTGTTGTCAACAAATTGTTGTGAGTCTAGCTGTGCAGCTAAAGCTAATAGCAGGAATGGCTAGCCGGTGATACATTCAGTGTTAAATGTTGCGTTTACGTGCGTTGACATTTTATGCTTATTTTTGTTTCATTCGATGAACAGAGTACCCCAAGACTTTATAGATGCTATGAAACGCATATCGGGAGGACAACCAGACATGGCTGCTAACACTCAAGCAGCACAGAAAGGTACAGGTAACCTCTATGCATGCAAGAACGAACACGCACACGCGTCCTCACAGAGGTGCTTTATTACTCTTTAGCTCAACGCTTCCTTTGTCTTTGCGTCGCAGATAACCACTCTGCAAATACAACTGCTGTTTTTGTTTACCTTTTGCCTGATTTGATTAATTTCTGAGTCTAATACGTGTCTTTGAATTATAATGAAAAAGATTTCAGGGCAGTGCAGACGTCACCTCGTGTCTTTTTTTTAAAAAATAAGTTACACACAGCAGAATCACAAGTTCATTAGTAATCAATTACACCTAGAAAACCCGAAATGTAATGTCCCCATATGAGAACGGAGAGGCTCTGAAAGTTACCGCTCACTGGACATTTTATCAGGTACACCTTAAAAGCACTTTTGCCTTCAGAGCTGCGTCAATCCTTCATTGCACAGTTTCAATTAGGAGTTGGAAACATTTCTCCAAGATTTTTCTCCGCATTGACAATGTAGTGTCAAATAGTTGCTTCGTACTTGTCGGCTGCACATCTATGATGTGAATCTCCCGTTCTGCCACATTGCAAGGCTGCTCTGCTGGATAGAGATCTGGTGACTCCGGAGGCTATTTGAGTACAACGAACTCATTGACTTCATCAGTAATCAGACTAACTAGATTACATATCTGGAGGCGTGTATTCTCTGAACATACGTTGCCTTCATTTTTCATTTTTATACTGCAGCTTCATCCTCAGTTGACAAATGGAAGTCTTCATTCAAACCAATCGGTGATGAAGATGAAGACTCTCAGGACAAAAGCAGCACAGAAAAGTGAGTTGTGTCTCCTGTAGCCTCGGTCAAGGCTGGCCCACATTTGAGGCTTCATATTTTCATGTAGTGAATTAAATTGTAGAAATAGTGTCTGTCTGCCCAATGAAAGCCAAAACATTTTGTTTAATGTGTGAACGTTCAGTCATTGTTCCAAAAAAAAAGAAAAGAAGAAAAAATTAATTAATCCTTCTTACCCTCATCTTAGGACTGGGCTTTATGACCCTTACAACCCTTTGTCGTCAGACTCTGAACCTGAGATGCCACCGGACCAAGACCACAAACTCTCCCCACCCACTGAGGATAACAGTGTGGAGCGTCAGTGTTTAACTTCAGCGAGAGACTGTCCCGAAGGCCGACACTGGGGCTCAACCTACTCCAAACCAGGAAGCGGACCCCTAGACAGAGGAGAATTTGGCACTGGAACCAGACCTATAGAAATCCCAGGTCTCAGTGCAGGAATTAGAAAGCATG